ACAGACAGACAGACAGACAGACAGACAGACAGACAGACAGACAGACATACATACATACATACATACATACACACAGTATGCGAGTGGTAGCAATGGTAGCTTGTACTGCTCAATGTGGATGTTCTCGTGGTACTTTCTAATTTACGGTCAAATGGCGATGGCGGCGAAGCGCTCGAACTACGAAGGACCTGAAAGTCCCTTTTGAACCCTAATTGCCATGTCGCCCACCTACTGCACTTGTCGGACATGATGCGCACACACACAGACAGACATATTTCTATATATGTGTACAATGCGTATTTAGACGCATTTGCCATTTTCATGAGGCGCTCCTGAACGCCCAGTTTTGTTTTGGAGTCGTCGTGGTGACTTTGTCTCCTGGCCACGCTTAAGGTTTTGGATGCAATCGGCGGCAAGGGTGGTGGAAAGGACGGTGTTGTCGAACAATTGATTGCAACGATTATGTTATGGGGTTTCCATCCCGATTATCTTGCTAGATTCACCTGTGTTTCCTCGAGATGTCCGGAAGTGGCGAGGATGACAAGGCTCAAGGGCAAGGTGATGCATCGAAGCTGGATGAAGCGCTTGCGGCGGCAAAGGACTTTGCCTGAAAGCGGAATAGCTGGAGGCTGAATCAATCTGGATAAACCAGCCTCATGAAGGTGAAACCACTTTTTGGTTCCTGGGTTGAACAGATCCCTTTGAAGCTGATGAACATTTCAGATGAAATCTTCGCTGGTACTTGATCAACCTCGGTAGCATTCTTCACATGCTTGCCATGATGATGTGCTTCTTGGGATGCCCCCGGGAAAGCTGTGATTTTTTAGAGATCTCAGCTCCTCCAGACTGTGCACCGCACATGCTTTAGAAGAAAAGGTTCGGGATCGGACGGTGAACCGTCGGACGCCACAGCGCCAGTGAACGTGCGGTGAAATGAATTCTGACAACTTTTTGCTCATTCAGGTGTCGGAGGGTGGACTCAAGATGAAGGAATTGGAGGCCGCAGAAGAACATGATGACTCGTTGCTGCGGGGAGCTTGTGGGACCATTGGAATCTGGAATCCTTGCTGGGCCCAGGATGGAAGTAAGGAGGCACGAACAACCAACTCCTTTGCTGTTTTTGCAAGTTTCAAGGGAAGGGTCAAGTGACTCCTTCAGGTCTTGCCATACTTCGAAGCGCGCTGCTTTAGCGAAGCCAGGCCGTTCACCAAACATCAGGATTGATATGCAACGACATGTCTCATGGTTTCGAACGCTAAGCTGTGCAGGGGCGATCCGATCAAAGTGTTCCAGACATATGGCGGTGGACACTACCAAATGCTCTCGTAATGAAGGATTTCAGTGGAGAAAATTTGGACGTGCGAATGCTACCAAACGTGATACGAACTGTTGGTACCGTACAAAGTGTCCTGTACAGAAATATTCCATTGGTTCAAGCGAAACGTAGCAGACAACAGGTGGAGGGGGGGGGTAGGGCAGCCATTTAATACGCAGATGCCTGCGGGCCTTGCAAACAGCACGACGACATGTAGTGGTGACTGCATATGGACGGGCAGTTCAAGATGCAGTGATTGATCGAAGCAATGGACAACGACACCGATTGGTTGGTTCGCTGCAAGGAACTGAAGGACAACAACTATTGCGTTCTCCTTGCTGCTGTGGTTGTGGGAGGGCATCCTCCGTTTGTTGCAACGTAAACGTTGGTTTGATGTGCAGGAACGTGGGAATCGGAGACTAGCAACCGGCAACAGTGCAGGCGGGTTTAGGTTCACAAGAGATCACAAGGGCCCACGTAGGCCTGTTGGCCTGCAAATATCCTTGCTGTTGGAGGTGCACTGCAGTTTTATGCAGAGGCACGTGTGATTTTTGGCAGTGATTTGTTTTGTAGGCAAACTAATCCGTAGCAAAATTGGTTCTTTGAGGCTTTGCAACATTTGGACACCTCGAACGGCGACACCAAAGGCACGCACAACGTTTACTATCCCATGCCATTGCCAGGCCATATGCCTAGAATCTCGATCCAAGGGTGTGTTGAAACACACACACACACACCGATGGTATTTTGTCTATAACATTGGAAACATTGGTTTCGATCATTGTTATTGTTAAATTTTCTCAGATTGAGTCAAGTTCCTGCTCGAAGTGTGGCAGGTGCGGACGCCACACAGCTGGCTGCCATTTTGCATTCAAACAGTGCACAGGAGCTGCAAAAACGTCCAAACCGTTCAACATACCGCAATCACGCAAGGCATTGATGAAGCAAAGAAAGTGGCTGGAGGTGAGGTTTCATTTGTGGCAGACCTTTTGTCTACAGACCTTTGGTCTACAGTAGGTTTGCATTTCATTGCCCTTTGCCTGATTGTTCACAAATCGCAAAGGCGATAGATCAATGCCATGCCGCCTTGTGCTTAGTTGATTCCCAAAACAATATGTTGCTTGAGACTGCAGATGAAGTTGGTAGGATCAGTCTTAGGATGAGACACGGATGTCTTCGTTTATTTGTTGTTTTGGGTGTCCATCCTCTGATTTTTCGTCTTTGTCACGAGTACGCAGCAAGGCCTTGCGCTTTGATCCAGCTCACACCAAGCAGCCGACCTACAATGCTTCGCAAGTGATGGTGGTTCGGACTCTAAAGCTGGATAAGGTCATCTTGGCGGGGAGCGATGTGCGCAATTGAGGACACTCGCTCGAAACTGCTCAATCTCACCTGTAGGCATTATTCATTGTCGACTTTGAGCGTCAACGAAAGCAGGTAGGAATGCATGATGTGGCTGTTGCCTTCGTCGAGTCTGCTTCTTAGACCTTTTCAATCACTTTTGCCTCCTTGCTTTTGTCTTTTGTATTGTTTTCGGGATTTTCCTGAACCTGTTCCTCAGAGGGTAGACAATTATATTGTGAATTATGGTCTATGGTTCTAGTACACATAGCACGGACTTGGCTCTCAAAAGTGTCTATATAACTGTCTATATAATTATATATATATATATTAAGTAATAAAGTATATATATAATATATGATTATGCGTAACTTGCTGACGCTTTGTGCATTGTCGCAATCTCAATTTGAACATTATTTTAATCATTTTAACATTTTTCATCTCCTTTGCTTAGCGCTTAGACGTCATTCACAATTATACAATTACATATAAGGTGACGTTTTTGGTAGAAGTCAACGTCTTGCCTGTGGAAGATGAACCACTTTTAGCTGCTTCCTCAAGCTGTTTCCCCCGCAAGACGCACACCTCCAACAGCAAAAGAAGTGGTGGGTTCAAACCACCACTCTGCAGAATGTCTAGCGAGAAGCATGCTGTTTGCAATGCCAGTGCCGCATTAGAAAAAGACCTCTTGAAGGTTTCTCATTCAAGGGGTCAAAAGTAAGATGTTCGTTTGGAATTGGGGCGGTCAATCAGGAGAAGTCACCAAGACTAAATCCCTTCACACACTAACGCCCCACATATTAAATCCCTTCGTTGCCAATTGCCAAACATTGGCTACAAAGAACGCTATTTTGATAGGCCTTCATTTTGGCAGGCCCAGATGCGGACTATTTTCCATCATAATTATACCATGTTTAGTCACACCATGTCGACATTAACCCAACACGTCGGGGCAGCCAGACTTAGCAGCATCAAGCTCTTCAGAAGAGCAGAACTTCTCCAGCGAATCCTGTTCGCATTGCATGCACCAGCATGTATGGTATAGGCTCGACACTTTTTATATCAATCCACGCAACATATCTAATTACAAATAGACACCCAAATGGAGAAATGACAGCTTGCTCTTGCTTGTCTTGAACAACCTGTCACATTCACAAATCAGGGCGCCTCCAAACTGTGTCCAGTGACACCAAACTGCAAGATCCACCAAGGCTCCACGGTGGTTGCAGAGTAACCGCAATCACAGCAGAGACTGTTCTCGAAAGAGCCCTGCAAGACTTTCAGCAAGGCTCTTTCAGGTCAACGAAGGATGCTGACAAAACGTCGCACCACCGGCCACCGGCCTCCACCAAGTCTTGAACCTCCGTTCCCGTGTCGTTGCGTGTTGCGTGGTCAAATCGAAGTGTCTCTCTCCAGCGGCGCAAGTGCCAAGGTACGTGGCCTGATCTCCACCAATCTCCCCCATGCAGCCGCTGCAAGACAAAGCTCATGGCCTCCTGGCTTTGCTTCAGGAAACTGTGACTTTGAAAACATGACACGTCTGTCCTGGCAATCTTACATCTGGTTCTATGGAAAAAGGTCAGGCTTTTGCGACAAAGAAAGCGCTAAAGGTAGGGAACTTACGGAGCCACCCCACATATGACCGCCTGCGCAACTCGGTCAACATGATGTCAACAGGGCTGCAGGAGGGGCTCCACAAAGATTCCTGCCAGTGTGCACAAAACATTTGGGATCGTTGCGACTTGGAATCAAGATGATATCCACACCTAAGGCACTTTGAAGTGATTGTAAAGTGGCCTTTGTGGGTCCTGCGCGTAGGATTAGAAAAAGCTTTTCATACATGCACGCATGCACGCACACAAACATCAGTTGGGTCATTTTTTTGTCTAAAATATATAATCGGTCATCGGGTCATGATTGATTTGTTTGTGAGATGACATTTTAGTTACAGTTTGGAACACCTATTTTCTATCGATGATCGAGCAATATATTTTAAACGTGGTTGCAATGGCGTCTCTTTTAAGGGTGGCTTCCTGTGCTTGCTGAGGTCAGGGCTCGATGAGAATATGGTCTCCACCGAGCTCCTTGAGCTGCGGCGGAGGCAACTTTGTCCAGAAACATCCAGGGTGCCTGCAGAAATTGTTTGATGTTCAATACCAATTTGTTGTTACTTTCTTATGAGTTTGGCAATGTTCGATTGTTTTCAATCAGGTTGGGCCCGTTGTCGCGACCTCAGAGAGTGAAGCACCCAGAATCTGACCGAATCTCAGCGAGGCCTGATGTTGAGCTCCACAAAGGCATGGAGAAATATGAAGATAGAACTCATGGTGGAGCTTTACTCATAATTATCTCATGATCACTTTGTGAGATCAGATTTTTCTTTTGCAACAGATGATGGCGATGAAAGCTCAATGGACCCGTCACAGTGGCACTTGCCATCAGAACAGGACAAGGCTGAAAGAGCCGCTTCCGAAGCTTCTTTGCAGTTCTGTTTGCTCCAGCAGGGTGCAGCATACCTTTATTTTGCAGGTGGCGAAGAGACACACAGCTCAAAAGCCACTACCACCTGACAAAGAGAAAGGACAATACCAATGCTGCTAAGTGTTTTGCATTTTCCGGCAAATGTAAGTGTGTTTAGTTTCCAGATACTGTACTTACTTTTGCACTGTTTCTTGATTATTTTTTTTGCAAGGACTGATTGATACTTGCCGTAAGACCATTAAAGGCCCATTTGAGTTAGTTTTCTTTGGTGACTTAAGCCCACAAGATACCAGGAGACTAAAAGCCTGGTCCCGAAAGAAGAGAATGCCACAGGGCTTGGGCTTTTACTTGCGATTGGCGAGGATGAACGCCAGCTGGTCGAGCTGGTCGATGAATGCAGTGCCTGATGCATCGGAAATGACTGGGTGCAGTGCTTTGAAGCGTGGCCAAGAGGAGTCTGAACAGGATCAAGTCTGGTCTGAACGGTCACCATGCTGTTGCAGCCGAGTAGAGCCGAAGAATCCGAGCCAATGGTCTTGGTGGAGAGACTCGCCAACAGCTCAAAAAGTCAAAGAGAACTACCTGTGCTGAATGGGACGAATGTCTTCTGATCCCATTGGTTGTTTGGCCTTTTTCTCTTCTGTAACCCGCAGCTGTCATTGTGTCAGGTCGTCGGCGCACACTAGCTTCCTACAATTATAAAAACTATAATTGAGTTTCTAAGGCCTCAGGCCGAGCCCAGCTTCGTACCAAAGGCCCAGCTTCCTACCAAAAAATTGAACTCCTTCGATAAGTGTTGCAAATGAAGATGCTTGAACGTTTTCACAGTGAGTTCTGTTGCTTCACACGGAGTTTGCTCCGTTCACACGGAGTGTTCACGCATGGCGCAGTTCGATTTGTTGGAAGGAAGGCATGGCTGAGAAACATCTTCCCTTCTAAAATCTCAGTAAGCAGTAAGCAGCTTACTTTCTCCCAACACCTTGTGCCGGTGCATTCAACACTTCATTTGCTCGCTTGTAAACGTATTCGTTTGAGTTTGGTTGAGTGAAAGTTGTAAGTTGTAGTATGCAAAAAAGTCTGAGAATCTTTCTAAGACCTTTGAGTTGGAAGGTGACAAGCAATTGTTGTGGCGCGACAGTAGGCTCCAATGTCTAATACCATGCAGAAGTTTGCTGGCAAATGCGATTAGGGCGTTTAAACAAGCAGTACAACTTTTGACAGCTGTTGGGCTGCTGGTTTTCAGCCAAAAGATGTCCAATTTCTTGAGGTCTGCCATCAAGTCCGATATCCCCTGCCGGATTTCGTGCTGTGGGCTGATTTCTTTTGTTTGACGCTGCCTCCTAAGCATGTAGCCCTGTCGGTACACTTCATCAATTCACCACTGCAGAACCGCACCCTGCCCTGGCAGTCATGCGCTATGTAGCAGCATGTGTGGTGATTACGACTTGATTCAAACAATGTGACATTCGCATAGAGAAGCTCTTGAACATTTCTCCCATGGAAGGCTTTGGGCGCGTGTCGTTGAAACGGCACATATATATATATATACATCGGCAAGCCAAGCATGACATGCGTCAAAATGAACAGACGATGGCTGAGAGGACATCCCTTGCGAATGCCCGTTCGGTGAGGTAACCATGGGCAAGCCTTGTGCAACACTTGAAATCGAGGGTGGCTTTTTGCGAAGTTTCATTTGTTACAAATTGTTGCCTCCTTCCATGCTGAAGCGCATGCTGCGGGCCGTCAGGGTTGGGAACGATCCAGATCAGAGGGAATCGCAGAGCACGGACATGGAGAGTTGCGCGGCAGATTTGGATTGCAGATCCACAGCCTCCCATGGCCCCAGCCACTTGCAGAGTAGCCAGCTCCCACTTTCTTCCACAGTTTCGAGTGTCAGACCAAATGGACGACTCAGAGATCGATCTCATGTCGAGAGTCGAACTGGACCACGCACTTGTGGCGCGTCGACATGGCTCGGAACCCGGCGACGGATCAGAATCAGCCTCACAACAAATAGCAGCATTCAGGCACAGGACTGCGATGTGGAGAAAGCCCATATGCCCGTTCGGCCGGGCCACGCCCAGATCAGGTCGATGTGATGTTCCAAGCTTTGGACATCCCGGGGCCACCAAGCTTCGAGGCCTGGAAGGCTTCCTGGAAGGTGTGTGCGCTACCTGGGTGCTGAGCCGTTGAAAGTTGTGAAGTCAGCATGGCTGGAGGAAACAACATTATTCTGCGTGAACAAGAGTAACATATTACTATATAGTGTGGGTGTTCGATTCAGGAGAGATTTTGAACTTTCTGGTATCACAGAATGACTTGGTTGTTTTTTGTCAGTCGCGCCCGAACAAGCTTGAACATGCCCTTTCTGCGTGACTCTACCTTCACTGGTTGTGGACAATGTGGAAAAGTCGTCCATGATTGAGGCCTTAATTCCCGAAGCGTGTGGGCTACTTTCAGAAGTCACAGGCCACACGTTTGAAAGGTATTTGGCCAGGCAACATAAATAGTAACAAGGGCATTACTACTAATAGCAAGAATGCTACTAGATGCTACTAGTATCTCCTGGCATCGCTACTAGGAGCAAGGACGCTACTAGGGGCTCGTAGCAAGAATGCGACTAGTGGCCAGTGAGACATTCATCGAGCTGCTGCGCTCTCATACGTCAAAGAGTCGTACTCTATAAGGAAAGGCCCGACGGCAACTGCAGGTGATGAATAACTTTGAGTTTCGCGACCACGGCCAGAGTAAGATAACCAAGGTTTGGTACACAGGACCAATAAAGATCAATCAAGTACCATCCAATCTTCAAAAAAGTCATGGTTATTACTATCTAGGTTTCTAATGTCTACTTTATTTCGTTGAAGAATCTATGATATGTGTTGGCATTTAAATTTGTTGCATAAGAATAACTTCTTCATCTAAAACTTAAGGATCTATTAACGCACATATGATATGTGTTTTTTGTTATTGTATTGTCTAGATATAGTTTTTCTTATTTCTCTTGAAATTCAGATACATATTCTTTAGAACCAGATGAGAAAAAGATAGAAGTTTGTATTTTGTCATGTCATTTCTTTATCTTAATGCCCAAGGCTTTCTACAGGATTCATATGATATACATTTCTTAATTTGCATCTCTTTCCCTTCTTTTTGATAGCTCAATAATGTGCATTGTTGATCTACTACTACCACATGTCCCTCATCGCGACCAAAAATCCAAGGCAAGATATGAAAGATAGCTGGTTCCAAGCAAGGCAATAGTTCACCCGAGATAACTAAGGGACTTTCGCCCTAACGCTGCGGGCAGCATGGGAGTAAAACTATGCAGGCATGTGCACGTGTCATATAGTGGACATGAGGTTTCATATTTATGGTTTCATGAAAGTCTTAAACAGGGTGCTTGGAGGGGAAACATGACGAAGCTATGGCAACCGTTTTCTCATAAGGACTCTTATCAAAAGCTTTTTCCCAATCCAGGAAGATAAACAAGTTTTCACAACCTTGCACGAATAACGGGTCGGTAGTTGACTTGCCCTTCGAAAACCAAATTGCATTGAACTAATTTTTCAGCAAACATATATTAATATGTGGAAACATTGTAGGTCGTACCTATGTATAGTTGCCAGGGTTTTCACGACCTCCTTTCTTGTACAGGCTAATTAGCAATGTGGGCATGGGTGAAATTGTTTGGCACTAACTTGTCTTGCCATAATTGGTTGAGGCCCCGAGTGAGTTTTTGACATTTTCCACGTCCAAATACTTGACGACAAGTTCAGCGAACGCGCCATTTGGACCAGGAGATTTGTTTGATTTCACGCTGCAAGCTGTTGATTGCGTTCCGCCACTTTAATGGACATTTGCAACTTTAGCGCCCAGATTGTGATGGACCATGTTTGTGTGTTGCCGTCAAGTTGAAGGGGGCTTTGTTTTGGCTCCCATTTTGTCGAGTGCACGTAATTATTATGCAATTGCCCTTTGGGTTGTTTTATACATTTTTCATGCTGTAAAAATTTGATTGACCTTGCATCCTAGAACCGTGAGAACTTGTACTGATTTTCATATCACCAAGCAGATTGTTCCGCAGTGCTTTTCCGGTTCAACTATGCAGATGTCTCATGGGAGCTTTCCTCCGAAGAATGTGCAGTAGGCACCGGTGACGCCAAGCCCAATCTAGACAGGATGCAACACATGCACACCCAGCGGTGCCAGCGACCACAAGGTATTGAGATGCAGACACTGATCGCGATGCTGCCCAGACGCAATCCCTTTGAATTGATCGTCCAAGGCACCAGTACTGCTGGCAGTAGTGGTAAAATAGATCTATATAAGTCGCTTGAATAAGCCTCACCATGGTTTGCATTGCTTTGCTGACAAGATGTCAGTGTGGCATAGTGTGGAGCTCTTGGACCTCATTTGAGCTTGCAAGACCAGACATTGTGCATAAAAGGCGAGATCGAAATCATAGAATGAGAACGATACAGAGAGAGAGAGAGAGGAAGTTGCCTAGATTGATATTTGCTACCAATGCTCTGTTGAGCGAACCCGTTCACGTTTTGCCTAGTTTGTTCAAGTTCTGTCAAGTGTTGTATTCGCTCATGGGCTCCTCGACGCTTCATGATGTTCATAGATTTCGCTGTCTCACCGACTGTTGCAACATGCAGCAGAGTGTGAGAGAAATCTCAGATTCCGACCAAAGCCGTTGGAAACTGGAAACCCATGAGCAATCACAACATGTGAGAGAAAGGTGCTGGTGTTAGTGTACCTCTCTTCTGCGGAATTTGCTTCAGCTACACATATTATGACGCATTGACAGCCCAATCTCATCACTAGTCAGTAGTCTTTCGCTGTTTTGGCTCGAGGGCACAAAGCACACAACCTCAATCCTCCTTGTGGAGTGCTTGAGGAGGAGCTGAGGCGCAAATACCAGCGTCAATTTTCGGGGGTCAAGTAAGCCAGCTGGCAGCGCCAGGATCAGAGTCATTTCCCAAGTGTGCTTGCCAGCATGGCCTGGTTCCAAGAGTTACTCGCTAGTTCTATCTATCTATCTATCTATCTATCGACAAGGAGCTCACACTTCTTGCTTCAGCCATTAACATTTTGTTTTTTTGTTTCTTTTGCACAGTAGATGGGAGATGGATTTGTACCACACCGCCTCGTCCGATCACGCAACGATGTCTTAGAAAACGTCGCTTTTGCTATCCTGCTATCCTTTGATCGTCATTTCTCAGTAATTTGATTCTAATTCATCATCCGTTTCTAGTCTAGGAAGTTTATGTCTTATGCAAACTCTTGCCCTCAACAGTCCTCAGTGTTTTGTTTCTCATTCCTTCTCTTTCTGTCGTGAGATGTCTTGTGCTTTGCTTCTAAGGTCTCACCAAACCGCCCGGTTCTGTTGCCGACTTTGCTGGCTATGACCTTGGTATGCGACCATTGGCTGACGCAGTGTGGCCAATTCAGCCGATGAAGATTGGGCCACGATATGTCACAATGCTCAGCGATGTGAAGAGCAGCAGACTGTCGCGATACATTCCCAGGTTTTGGCCCTTGCCTGCTGGTCCTGGCAAGCATTTGTTCCTGCACCGCGAGGCCACTAGTGGACCTGGTATTCTTTTCGTGCTTCCACATACTTCTGCATGTTAGGAGTGGACAATCTGGCCAGCGAACGCGTGCAAGAGCAGGCCCACAAGCTCTTTTGCGAACGGGAATGCGTTGTATTGATACAGCATTTACTGACAACGTCTATCAACACAATCGAGAGCAACCGCTTTGTCCAGGCGGTGACTGCAGCTGCAGGCACTGTTGCAGTGCGGACCTTGGTTCAGGTAGCAGCAGCTTCTTAAACAGAAAAGAAACGCACCTTGTGCCTGCTGAATTGGAGGCAAAAGTGTATTTGGGAATCCTTGAACCAAAGCTTTTGTATTTGGCTTTGTCCACAACAGCACAAGGAAAGGAGCACAATGCCGATTTGAGACTGAGGCCCTTGGAGCTCTGCCGGCCCACGCTGTGGACAACCCTTTGGCACATGGAGCCCCAGGAGTGCCTGCCTTAGGCACTAGACACTGCAAGTGGCTTTTGTGGCCCAACAAGAACGTACACTGACCGAGCAATTGTTTGCAGCCAATATTTATAAATTCTTCACCCCCAGTTTCAATCCAGAGAGGGAGAGTAGATGAGAGGGATAGGGAGTCTTCAGGTCATGGACGCCAACGAGCTGCAGGGCTGGGCTGAGCGTGCATCTTTTGGCGGCCTGCTGGTGCGCTGGCCAAGCCAAACAGCTATTTTACGATGCCGTGGCAACAGTCCAGAGTATATTTTCGATTGACGGGTAGTCCGAAGAGCAGAGAGTCTAGAGCCGAAGAGTGCAGTTTAAAGCTTTCTTTAAAAGCCGGTCCCTGCCTCCTTACTGAATTAGGTAGGCGCCTAGTTAATCAAGTAAGGTTCTACTGGTAGCTACTTAAGCTACTACCTACTGGATAGTTCACGCCGCTTGTGCTAATGATTGGGTTTCTAGATTTTGGAAACTTAACCAACCACCTTGGTCTCAACAAACCACCTAGTGTAGTCAAACTCTGGTGCTATTTGAGTGTGCTTTGCTTTGAGGAGCTGCCAATGATACACAGCGTAATAAACTGACTGCGTCTCCCTATCTCACCAAACTGTCCTTGACCCATACCCGGTGTGATCCCGCAAACTGCTGCAAGTATGAAAGGTGTTTGGAGAACACTCCCTAACTCAAACCGAAAGCTCAGATAGTTTCACAATGTTTCACCAATCCTAAGACGCCCGAAACAAAACCCATAAATACCGAGCAATTCCGAGGTCTGCACACTCTTGGCATGGTGGCGTGGAACGCTGGGAAGTGGTCAGGCTGACGGTTGGGGAGTTGAGGGTTCAGTATGGAACATCATGGAGCACTGCTCCACTCAACAAAAGAAGCAGGTTGTGTTTGTTGTTGTTGTCGTTTTATTTTTGAAGACTGGGGGGGGGTAGGCCGTAGAGGTGAGGTAGGTTAGCTAGGTAGGTAGCTAGTAGAAGCAAGATAGCTAGTAGCTCAAGTAGCTACTACTTAGGACACAGGATGGCTTTTTATTTGGTTCCTTGACTTTTGGGGACACTTAACTATAAATATAGTATATTGATTCTTGGGCACAGATTTTGCATGGAAGGCAAGTGCCCAAGCCGACAGTGGAAAGCCTCCAGCCTTCTGGGATTGGAGCTCAGGATGACAACCGAATCTCTGTTTGAAGTAATGCTTCGTATGCTGAGTGCGTGCCATGTTACGGCGCCACAATCCGTTTAGCAAAGACCGGCAACTCCTCAAACATGCGCATTGTACGTTGGCTGATTGCTAGGCTATGGCCTTCTCAAACTTGGCACTTGTTGCCAGGGACTTAGCCGAGTGCTGTGCAACAGCACGCACTGCAGTTGCTTGACGGAAAGACAGAAGCCCCTGACTTTGGGCGTGATGTCAACTGGCTCGGCTCCTGAGCAAAGGGTCAGGTTGATTTTTGAAGTGATTTGGCAACACTCAGGTGCTTTTGAGCAATCGCTGGATAGAAAGCGGTGGGGTGCTGAAGATTTGTTTAGTTCAAACGAGCTCCAAAACAGTCAGTTTCAGCTGTATGGCATGATTGAGGCCACTTTCCACTCTCCAACATGTACGAGTCCTTGAGCTTCCTCGCGTTCCTATCTCAGCTGTGTTCAACACATCCAAGTAAGCACGAAAAAGAAGAAGAAGGAGAAGGAGAAGGAGAAGAAGCTGGTTAAGATGTGTGCACTATAGTGCCATGGTGACACAAAGAATGGATGCAGGTGGGGAGTGACGGCCGTGACACTCTATTTCACAGCAGCGAGCTTGGAGAGCGGTAGAAAAGACATGTGAACACCACATGCAGGAACTTGGAAACATACTTGTACCAAGAATTCTTTGGCACTTAAATGCAGCTTGATTCTCGACAAAGCTTTAGTGTCAAGGCCACGGAGAACAACAACGATGATGCAAAGTACTTTGACTCCAAAGCTGGCGGAGCCCAGGCAATCAGACCCAGCCAATTTGGCCTGTTGCTCGCGTGAAACAATGTTGCAAGAATCAGCAAGGCCAGAGCAAGGCTTGTCAAAATCAATAAGTCAACGTAAGTCATCATCATGAGTTGACATTCATTGCTTCACTCATGGGTGCCTTCGGTGGCGTCGGTCTGGGTGCTTGCTGCAGGCAAAGAGAGTCACTGGTGACATCGCAGTTCCTCGGCTGCATCGCAGCCACCGCCCTTTTTCCTCCAGATCCCAAGAGTCAATTCCATGTTGCTTGACGTTTCTCCTTGTGCACAAGATCAACACTGGTTTCGCGTCTCTCCAATTGGGCTGAGGCTGTTTGGGCATCCCCAGTGGCCCTGGGCATTGTCGCTTTTGCCCAGTTCTCTTTGCCCAAGGCAATCAGACAGCCCGACCGGATCGCGATCAGAGTTCACCACAATAGGACCTCCCAAATCCGACATGTTATATCCAAACCATTTTTATCATATACATTGTATGTACATCGTAAATAGCTCGTTTGAGAGGACTTGTGCAGCTTATTACCAGACGCCATCGGACGGCTTCTGACTGGGCAAACATTACCTTCTCCAGCTCAAAAAAGAGAAGGACAAGTCCTTTGTCCATGTAAGTCCTTTGAAGCGGAGCACTCAATACTCGGATCCTCCAAAGCAAATGTCTTGCTACAACCTCAAAGGACCTGATGTTAATATATGTTAATGCCCGGTGCCATGCCATGGGTTGGTATATATAATTTACGATTGTCACCACAAATGCTAAGCTGGGGGAGGAAAGCCACCACCAAAGTCTCACTCTGATCATTGTCAGGCTTTGCAAAAGGCTGGAGCATTGGTTCCTGCACTGCAGTAAGGCACCAAGTCTTTGATGAGGGATGAAGAGATAGACACAAATTCACGGAAGCTGTTGTAAGCCACGAACAGAATTGAGTAGATTGCATTCAACACACATCAAACAAGATTCGCAGGGAATGGACACAATTCAACACTCGAGTCACTCTGCATGATGCCAAGGTCGAACTGGCTGGTGATGCATGTCTCTGTGGAAACCTCAGATTTGCAAAGGAATCGCATTGGACCAGTGTGGAAAAGTTACAGTAAGTCGAGCAATACTGAAAGACTGCAAGGTTGTGATGTGCTCGTATGCCACACTCCTGTTTGGATCTGTGCTTTGTCGGGGCCTTCGTCGCACATGTTTTCATATACTGTCACATCTTTCACTAGAAGGTTATGGATCACAGGTGGATCAGACATTGGCATCAATTTTCTTGCTGTTGAGGCATGGCTGTGCTGGCACTAAGCCAGCCCAAGGAAAGTCCCATTACAGCCATCCGAGAGGCTAGGATTTGTCAAAGCTGGGAGATGAAATGACATGAGGCCCAGGTCCAACTCCCTAAGTCATGAGTCATGTCAGACTGTCATGTCACGGTAGAATCACCCGAGTCATGCAGTGAGCATTGACTGCATTAATTGGAACAATGGCTCACAGAAGGTGACTTTCGCGTCAGGCAGTGCAGCCAGCTTTGCAGGGCCTTGCGAACGGCCTTCAGCATGTTCCCAAGACGGGAGTGGCCTAGCACTAGTGCTGAGCACCAACCAACCAAGGGTTTATATAACGGAATGAAACAGTGGACAAAATGTGAATAGCTCAGTTCAACTCTTAATCCTTGATTGGGAAGTTGTAGTTCAAGCATGTTCAAGCTACTGATACCTGTGCTGTATTCATGGAGGTGGACATTGGGGTTATTTTTGCGCAAATGATGTGGATGAGTCAAGGCCACAGCCGGCTGTTGCCACTGCTGGACAGGCGGCCGTGGGTTCTTGGGTTGGTCAGTTGCACGTAAAGCAATTTACTGAGGAGAACATATTTAAGGAACACATGCCAATGACAATGCTATTTCGATCTTTTATTTGTTTTTTGTATAAGTTAGTCCCTTTCTTGATTATATGAAGTCATGGGAGCTCAAACGGGATTCAGGCCATGGCAATGACGGGCACCACGCTCGATGCTGGCAACACTGCGAACAAGAAGGAACAGGATGTGGAGGCAAAAAGTATGCAGTTGCACCAACAAGCCAGTCACAGATGGTGCAACTCCCAATGAACGGCAACACCGCGAGTCTTTCTTGCCAGACAGGCCGCAGTGACAACCTCTGCTGTGTCTGTAAGTGCCACCAATGCCACTGCCTCATTATGGAGACACTGAGTTCGGCCATTGAGTAGGCCATTGCTATTAGGTTGGAGACCAGGAGCCCCTAGAGCTTCTTGTTCCTAGTAGTAAGGCCAGGAGCCCCCAGTAGCGTCCTTGCTATTAGGTTGGAGGGCTTCGCTCTTTGGTTGGCCCTCGCTAGTAGGTTATATGCACGCCAGAGACTGGAACACCATGCTTCCCCAGAACAATGCAAAAACGGACCAATTGTGTGTTGGGTAAAGCATGGTAAAGCTGGTCCTTCACAACAACACAAGTGCATTTGTTCTGTTTGAGAATCTCGCACAATGAGCGTCAGTGTGTCTATCGGCTAGCAGAAGCCAAAGCCGTAAAAGGGGAGACTTTAATTTACTACATATGTATATATATATTATATATATATTATATGTATGTGTATATATATATACTACTGTCTAATGACTTAGGCCAACGTGATGCAAGTGACATACCAATCTGGCTACCCCCATGCTAAGTCATGTGCCCTGACATATCGAGCAAAAAAATGTCTGGGTTGGGAAACCTGGTGTCATAGGACCTGTGGACACCTCCTCGACAAAAAATGTAAGAACACAGCTAAATAATGCTAGATACCACTGCCTGGCACCCTGGTGACACAGTGGTGACATAGGGTGCGACTGTGTGTTTTTGCGGGCGCTGCTTCCTTGAATACCTCATACATATTTCTATGAATATCATGGTTGTGGCCTGATGACATAGGCCTTAAGAGGAAATGCCAATGTTGGATCAATCCTGATGACATAGGCTTTTGGAATTGGCGTGTATGTCCGACAAGTCCTAAGTTACTAGTCAGTAGTATACATGTACAAGCTCATCCCTACTCGCAGATGTGCCTGGAATGGATTTGGACCATTATACTACCTACTGGTGAGTTAAGACTTTGAGTATCCAAAGAGTTAGGAGTTGTGCAGCACAAGGCCTAACTCATGAGGCCGAATGGAACCCCGCCATTTCAGAACAGCCAGATGTTCCATGATGAGACAGGAGTAACATACCGCAGAATGCCAACAAGTCCCAACTCATGCTGCATGCACATCTCCGGAGACACCAGGTATTGAGGGCTAACCCCCCCAAAAAAGTGCACAATCGTGCACAATCTGTCACAGAGAAACACCAATTGTGAAACAGTCACCTCCTATCTCACGTCGTGCCGCCCACGCGCCTAAGCAACCATCATGTAGCCATGCACAGACATCCAAGGACATCCAAGGACATGCTAGGACATGGACTGGTAGCAGCACAAGTCCTATCTCATGTGTTGGCATCCGGCCACACATGCCCTGGGCACACCATTTTTGTTTAACAAAAAAAACTCAAGAGCGTTCCTGTTTTGCCTTGCTAGGCTTTATGAGATAGGAGTTGTGGACCAAACACTGGTCAAAAAGTACTTTTCTTCATGAGATAGGACATTGATTTTTTGGCATACGTCCGACAAGTCCTAAGTCACTGGTGAGTAGTATATATGTTTGTATTATTCGAAGGAGTGAGGTGGTGTCTTGGACCCTGTGAAGCCTTTCCTTCTTCAGGTCACAGTCGAGTTCTCCTCGTCCTCTGCATCCGCAGTTTTGTCAGAGGCCTCGCTGGAGAAGTCACACTGGTGAACCATACGTACAGTCAAGCGGCGATGGAACACCTGTGGAAGATGCAGCTCACTTGTGATTCTGGCCCTGCGGCAGGATGATCAACTTGCGATCACATTGGATGATCTGGCTTATAGATCATTGTTGTTGGGATTTGGCTTTTTGACACAGCCTCAGACTTTGTGACATTGACAGACCAGTAAAGGTTTGTCACTTGCTGGCGAACAAATCACTTTTAATTGTCCTTCTCTCTTCGCATCATAGCAAGGACCATCGGCATTGTTTCGGGAGCAGTTTGGGCCAACGAAGCATGGGGGAACTACTGGAGCTGGGACCCAAAGGAGCTTTGCTTGGCAGTGCCAAAGCTGCCACATGGTGTTTTTCAGAGGTGTTCAATCTTTTCGACCCAGAAACAGGAGACTTGGGCGCTGATCACATGGCTTGTTTATGCTGGGTACCTGCACACCAGGCCCTGCAGAGAGGTGTTCTGTTGCGTTGCAGATAGTACTGGGTTTGATTATGCTGAACTTGATCTTTGTGCATGCTCTACGAGGCTTCAGCTTGGTTGGGACACTCGGGAGAGCGCGAAGATTGGTGCCTTTGGCTTTCTGGTTGGAGCCTTTGATGGATCGCTCCAGCTCAGAGGAACGATGAATCGGATGGCTCAGGTTGTTTGGGTGTGTTACATTGGTGTAGCAACCTCAGTGAGGGATGCGAGAGTTGAACACGAACGCATTCCTAAGCGACTTCCTAAGCGGTTCGTGTGTGTTTTGGTCACCAAGGTCAATTTGATGGGCATTGGCCTGCACTCTTATGGCTTTTTCCTGAAATGAGTTATGATTCAATGGTTTTTTGAGGCCATTTCTCTGTACTAAGCCTTGATTGAATCAGCTTGTCTGGACCTGACGGGCGAACAAGTATGTGGAATGGACCGAAATGGCGGTAGTTTCGGAGGTTGCTTTCATTGACCTCCATGCGCTGTCCTGGCGCTCCGAAGGAGTTTTTCAGCTTGCAGCGTCGCTAGCACGTAGGCTCAGCGCTGCGCCCACAACTTTCGTGGCTGCACTGCATCGATGGCAGAGTGGGATAGAGTCGTTTTAGAGGCATACTGGCAGCAGGAGAATTCTTAAGTGCGTTGAGAGTTTGAATTCTTGAAGAATCTCCATCCATTTCATTTCCTCTTTGGAAGTTGAGCCTGTGGGCCTTACCGGGCGCCTGGATTCGGACCGTTGCATTGACACTTGGCCGAGACTCTGAGTTTTACAGCGACCGCTGCTTGTCGCAGCCAAAAGGTCCGCCGATGCTGAGAGCGTTTTGCCACAGCTCCCACAGCTCGGATCAAAATGTTGTAACATCCTTGTATATAGAGTGTTTAGTTCAAACATTTGTTTAATTTATCGTCCAACCTAGAAGAAATGGCCTCCAACCTAATAGCGACGGCCTCCATCCTTGTAGCGAGGCTATCACGACTTGCCATGTGGCATTTGCATTTGAGATTTTGCCTTGGACTACCTGCAACCAAGTAAAAACAGGGGACAATTCTCTAGTGGCTCGAGTGTTTGGTAGACGCAGTTGGGCAAACAACATTGACAGTGGTCATATCATGCCTTCCTTGGCATTGTGCCTTCCCGTACACTACAAGCTGCAGTGTTGCACCTTTTCTGTTCTCTTGCATTTTCCGTTTATTTGGTAAGCTCACAGGTTTGGAATAGCTCGGTGACGCAACTACACTCCTGCATTCTGAATACTGATAGCATTGGGCCATTACACTTGTATTGCCCAGCAGTGCGTGAGGTGCACGAGATCTACAGTAGAAGATCAACACTATCAGTACGTCTTGGTTGTCAACGTTTTTTCTCTCCCTCATTTCCAACAAGTGGCATGGACATTTAGTGGAACTTCTTGCAACCGATGACGCTTCCATGGGCCTGACACCAAGGGTATCTCCAGCATTGGCTGTTCATTTGTGCCATTTGCCGAGGTTTGTTTCAGCCTTGTGTTGGCGGTTTGCTCCTAATTCTACCGACCCTGAGAACCAGAACTTGAACGAGAACCACTGCCAAGCTTTACAAACAAAGTGGCGGACTCAACTGGCAGATTTGGAAGCCTGCTGCTCCTGAGAATTCAGCACAAGCCATGCAGGATGTTCAGGATGCATACGAAAACTGGGAGGTGCAGTGGCCTAGTAAACACAATGACCGTCAGAGCAGTTGATACTTTGCGCTTTGGCCAAATGATGCCAAAAGTAAAACATGGTGAAACACTTGAAGTACTGCAAACCTAGAGTCTCAAAAAGCTTTGCTGGGCCTGACCTGGCTGCCATACATAGACATTTGTGTGGATGTTTTCATTTTTCTCTTTGTCTGCCGGTCTGTTTGTCTCTCTCTCTCTATCTTTTTGAAGGCAAAGTCCCGGGACGAGAAGATGGATTTCTTGCTGTCGATACCAATGCGAAAGGACCAACCAACAACTGACGAAATTGGAAAACGAGTGGACACAGTGCTGGTAGAGCTTCACACAGAGTTTGGCATTGCGGCCAGGATAGCAATCTCAAGAAGAATGAAGCAGCCATGCGAGCTATCCTGGTCAAGGTTCCCTGCACATGCATACAATATCATAATGGTTTGATTCATGGCCATGCACCGTCCAGATTTTTTGCCTTCAAGACGTGTGTTTAGGATCTCTGTCAACAGTGGTGAAGGGAAGAAGTACAGTAATTGAACTGTATTCTGACGGATTCTGTCACCCAGGGATTTTGGGTGACTGAGCGTGTCGATCGAAGCTTCAGGCAGAAACAGATCCCGATGAATGGGCCTGGACCTGGGAAACTGATCCCAGTTGTAGTGCTGACTATATGCTTGTTTATCGACAACTTTCACTTCTAGTTCTAGAGACAACTGGGGCTAAAGAGGGCGATATTTGTTTCAACTTTCAACCGCGCCTACTTGCTGTAATCCTACCCTGTTGGTCAAACGACATGTGATTGAAACTGAGGTCCAGAGGCTTGCATTGCTTCTAGCAAGTGCGACACCCAGAACTGTGCACCATCGACTCATCGACCGATTGCTCTAATGGGCTCTTTCACCGGGCGTCTCAAGTCTACCTGACAACATCGTGCATGTATCATTGTATCTCACACTGCAGTCATGAGCGCGGCCTTTTGTTGCTTTGCACGCCATCATCTCGTCTAGCTAGCATTAAATTTGGTTCAGCCTGACTGACTAGGTGTTGATGTATTGATCACCGTAGTGCAACTATGTCAAAGCAAGGCCAAGCCTTTACTTCACAGCCATCTCCGGTTGCGTTTGAAAGGCTCCAAAGCCAAGGTGTGTGTGCTTTAGCGCGTCCAGAATGCCTTTGAGCTAGCATCCTCCACTCATCAAACACTGAAGGTGATAGCTGCATGCAGCGTCCACCGTTGCCAAACAGGTTCCAATGGAAATACACAAGCTCAATAGTCAATACCTCTCAAAGCCATCCAACTATATATATATAAATCCAACTGTCCTTTGATTGTTTCGTTTGCAACTTGAGACCTATCCTCATTATATATTGGTTGCTCCACTTCCTTACTGACTCGAACTCCGAGGTGTTGTGGGCACAACAACAGTCTCAAGCCAGGGTCTTGATCTTTGGGAACGTGTTGTAGAGTCACGTGGGTGTGGCTCAAAGAGTGTCAAAACTCAGGAGCTCAGAACGCTGTAGATAAACATCCCCATGTCATCCATGTCAATAAATGACTTGTTTGTTCATTTTCGAGATGTTTGCTAGGGCTTACTAGGGTGAGAGTGCTTTGACCCACATTCCCCACATCCGCGTGTAGTCAGAAGATGTGCAATTCAACGACTTTCATGTACGTTTCCGTGTTGGAGCTTGATCACCACTCCAAGGACACGTTTCTTGGATCGTCCGTGATCCTCCGTAGTCCCTTTCTAATACATTGATTCCTGTCATTCAGGTTGAAACATTTTGCGGTCTACTTGAGTCTTTGTTTCTTTCGAGTCATATACTATAATATGTGTTTGCGCCGTTTGTTTCCTCCAACTAATCTTGGAATTGCAGTACACTTTTGAACACATTTCTTAATGTTTTTTTGGTGAGATTGTTTGTTGTGAGCAAATGAAGCTATCAAGTGAAAGGTTGCTTTGTAGACCCTGGCACACAGGTTTGGTGACATGTGAAAGTCACTGTGGTGTCGGTGCGCGGTCATTGTTTTCTTCTTTGTTCATTGTTCGAAGTTAGAACGTACATTAGGGTCATTGACCAGGGTGTCCAAAAAACAGGAGGCGAAACACATCGGACTCCACGACTTGTGATGTGCAAGGAATGTAAAGCTTGGGCAGCAAACTTCCACATACTTCAGAGTTTGGCAAAACCATGGGACCGAAATTGGAGTACGCTTGCAACATAGCTCTTCTGCATCGAGAATCTCGTTGGACACGAATCCAGAGCAAAAATCTATAATCTATCCTGAGGAAGAACATGTCCCAGCTTGTCCCCAACTGTTTCAATTCAACAGAGAACCCTAATGAGCTAATGCCGCCCATGGGGACGGTTGTCGCTCTTTGTTTGAGTCGTAGACGTTGCTACCCTTTCTGTCTTGAGCGTCTTGGACGTCTCAAAACACAGCGTCTGCAGAAACAACGCCGGGTTTCGACGGTCACCACCGCAAAGCATGTCAATGTGTGTGACCGTCGGTGTCCGTGTTACTATTTTGCTTTTCTGGTTGCGTGCTTTCCCAACGTGCCATCGTACGGCTAGCGGCTAGAGTCAGACTTGTTTCAACCACATTGAGGTTCGGAGGTGGATAAGGAGTTTATGTATGCGCTGACGAAAGAGGCTCGGCTTTTCATTTCCCTTTTTTAGTTGCCACTGTTGATGCCCTGGCTAGGTATCAAAGCAACGTGTGGTTGAGAATGCATTGATACCGGAGGCATTGTGTGTGTTTTTTTAGCAGCCATGTCAAGAGCATTGAGGTGACATGCTCTGATGTTTTAGTTGGTACGTCAATGCTGGTGGTACAGGATGCCATATTCCAACTCAGCTGCGACACCTAATTCAATCGACTTTTCCGCGGACGGCATTCCTGAGTTATTTCCCACAACCTGCAGGGCAGCACCATCTTAATTGCCCTTTACCAGACTGGATTCAGAACCTGTCAGGCTCTTGAACTCGTAGGCTTCTCAGCTGTAATGCGAAGGACATTGCGCTGGCAGTGAATCGAGCATATTTATTTTTTTGAACGAAGAGAATCAGCGCATGTCAGCACTACTAAATTCTTCAGAGATGTCACTTTATGGCTTTGCTTGACTACAAAGTGCGAAAGGTCCAAACATAGGGGGTGACTGTCACCGTGTTAATTCAAAAAAGATATAAGTTCGAGTATTCTAAATCCGAAACATGTACCTTGCTGCAGGCAGCCATAGCTTGGCTTAAGTCTTCTGAGGTCACTCCCACAGCAGAGGAGCAGGCGACTGCGGAGGGTTCCCGAATGCCAATTTCGCCCTCATTCTTGCTGAATCGACCGCTTGATGTGTTTGTTGGTGCGGCTGCGACACTTCTGAACCAATTCATTTGAGCAACCAGCTGTGCGAACTTACTTCATCGGTCCAGCTACTTCTTTGTAACCTTTGTTTGCTTTCAGGCGGTGCACCAAAAACACTGCAACTCCCCTGTGGCGATGACACCGATTTGTGATACAGCTTTGGCCAAGGACATTCGCTTGTGTGCGGCAAGAATCTGTCTCATGACGTTACCGTCAGACGCATCGGATTTGGTAGGATTGGGCTTTGGCTTTGGTTGCCGAACACTTTCAGCTCAACATTGTTTTGAGATGTTTTGAGTGTGACCCGAGCTCAATTCCTCATGTCCCTGAAAATTATATATATAAAATGATTTGGGGTAAACAAGCAGGCTGAGCTGAGCAAGTCTTTGGTTGATTCTGTTTACCTTAAAGAGAACCAATCACAGAATCCAAGGTGTACTTAAGACTTGGCTGAATCTTTTCCAGGAGCCAGAGGCTGCTCTTTGGTGATCCCCTGAGTTGCAGAACAGTCACTTGGTGGACTCCCAGAGATTTGACAGATTTTGAGAGATGAGGTTTTTGCAAGATGCCCAGAAGCAAGTTGTGCTGGACCTCAGTGCTCAAAGAGTCGTTGGAGTAGTGGAAGGTTGAGAGGATGCCTCCAAGAGTCCAAGGAAGCCCTGGAGGCAACGGAGCTTTTTGATTCAGAGAAGCAGACCTGCGCTCAGATTTTCTCGAACATCAAAGCAATAGACAGATAAGCTCTAAGTCTAAGTCTGGCATATGGCATAAATGGGTGTCCAAGGACCGAAGAACAACCTGAAATGAAGAGGCGAGACAGACCAATGTGAACATTCCGTTGAAGACTGAAACTCTTTTTGCTGAAGGCCTCGCACTGATCCCTTCCAGACATGGGGGGCCATGAACCTACACAGAATGATGTACATTTCGCACCTGAAACATTCTGTCCGACCAACTTAGGGACATTGCTGGGCTACCACGACCATCAGCGAGATCTTCTTCAAGCACTGGAGGTGCCAAGACACTGAACATATGCTTACACGAGTCGCAATGCGTTTAGAGTTTGATCTGAGGATTGAAGCTCAAACATTTTGCAATAGAGCAAGACCCATGAGAATAAAACTTTTGTTGTTAAATTGAATATCAAAATTTTGAAGCAAGATCATTCTTCTGAAAAGAATGTGTAAGATTCATTAAGTTTGAGTTACTGTAGATCCCTAGAGCTTTGCCGTTGATTGTTGTAGATGGGCTGTCTTGGTGATCTGTCAAGCTTGTTTGTTTTGGCACTGGTCCCTGGTCGGCATTAACACATTAATATATATATATATTAACTATACATATATGTACAATATCCATATGTATAACATATATATATATATATTACAGTATATGGAGGTGCAATTGAACACCAACTTAGAATGCTGCAGCTGCCATGTCATCCACTGCTATTTCAATATTGTAACTCTGCATTGCGCAATTGGCAATAGTGACTTTTCTAAATTTAGACAACTGTGGCACAATTGCTGCCAGGGACAAAACAAGAAGCTGTGTCCTGTTGAATGTACAAACTCAGTCACTTGATTTGCTTCAGGTTTCTCCAAGAAATCCGGTGAGACTGGGCAGCGCATGAACGACAATCAATTGTCAGCAAACAACAGCGGAAAAGTGCGATTATTCTTTGTCCATCACAACCTTCAAAAGCTGGCGAAGGGAAAGCGCGTGTAGTACCCTAGTGCTAACACATTTACTACGTGCTAACACATTTACCTATGCGACTTTGCGACCATGTTCAAGGTGCGTCAATAATTTCACAGAGACACTTATTTATATTTACACGTCATATTTGCACTTTTGCATCAGTGGGGCCGGCTCATGGCTCCCTGGGTGGCAAACCTTTGCACAAGGGCCCAGAAGAACATATTCTTTAAAGCACATGACTGCAAGTGGCAAAGACAGATGTTTGGCCGACCACAGCAAGAACTCTTTGCATTTTGGCAAGATAGAACTCTCCGTTTTGTTGCAGCGGGTGGCATGTCGTCTGATTCATCCGATGACTTTTGCAGAAAAAGGCAGGCTTTACAGCGAAGCTATGCTGCTTATCAGTGCCGCTTTTTGGGACGACAAGGAACGTACCATTGTATCCAGTGTTTTTTCTTGCCAGGCGCGTAAGCCTTCGAAGTTCACCAGATGTATACCCCCATGCCTGGCGCACAAATGCTACCGCAGAAGAACTCAGGAGGACATACATCATATGCTATCGTTGTGTGTTGATGCGGAGACCTTCAACCGCAGAACTCCTTTTACAAGTTGATTGTCTCGGAGCTGTTCTTTTGTTTTCTCAGCCGTACCTGAATTGACAGCCGTAGCTTGTGCATCAGGATGTATGGGCACCTGCCAAATGGAGGAAGAGTCCAGGGAGTGAAGACCCTTGCAGGAAGGTTGGTGGCACAGCGTGACTTTGGAAAGCTCAGATCTTCGGCACGAGTATAACTTTTCTGTATGTTCAGTGAAGATCCGAAATTCTATACATACTCGTGTTTAATTTGTAACTCTTCTCTAACAAAGCTGGCTTTTGTGTCATAGGAAGCTTGCTGATTTGGACTCATGCTTGCTCCTTACTCCTTGTTCCTTTTGTGCTCAATTGTCATGCAAACTCAGATGTTGTCCGCCCAGGATTCATGGTCGTTGTCAATGAAAGCACTTCAATCCAGATAGTTTGTGACAGCTCTACTTTGATCGATTCCACTCGGATCAATCGCAATGATGTTGTTGGCGTCGAGGGCGAAGTGGGGAAAACTCGCAAAGGCGAGCTCTCAGTGTTCGCTACAAAGCTGCAATTGTTGGCCCCATGTTGGCACAACCTCCCGGTACAGCAATCCAAATTGGATCCGGTATTGAAATGCCGCAGAAGGTATTTGGATTTGATGACAAATGTTCCTTGCCTTTGCATAGTGCATGTCATTGCAGTTCGAAACATGAGCAAACAAGTGTGGAGATTCGAACCAATCACAATATACCGTAATCAGTAACATAAGGCTTTCTACGGTTTCTGTTTTCTTTCTATTTTCAATGCAATAATGAACTCTGATGTTTGAGCCAGGTTTCTTCTCAGCTGAAGTTCAAGAAGCGAGCTGAGATCATCACCTCCATCCGGAAGTATTTGAAACAGCGAGGCTTCCACGAAGTCGAAACCCCTATTCTTTGTACTACCGGTGTTGTTTGAAGCTCAGACACGTGAGCTTTCAGCCCAGGCCAGCTAAACGACTCCTACACCTTATTCTGCTTCTCTAGCAAGCCATGCCAGACAGGTTTTTGGGGTTAGGGTTTAGGAGTTGCCTCCTGCTAGTCCACTGAGGCCAGCGCACAGGCTGTCAAGACGAGATCGAATGAGCTGAACATGGACTTGTCACTCAGAACTGAGCCGGAAGTGTTTTTGAAGATGCTCCTGGTCGGTGGATTTGATCGGATTTTTGAGCTGGGCCGCTGCTTCCGCAACGCATCTGTGGATGCAGATCCCGAGCACACAACTTGTGAGCTCTACATGGCTTACCATGACTACAACGATCTCATGTGCCTTGTGGAGGACCGACATTGCTTAGCTCCACCCTGCTCCACTCAAACTGCTCGCTCACTGTAGCAGCAAATTGGCGGACCTTGCTTTAAGACTCGAAGATGCTGCTATGTGGACTTTATATTCACTTATCTACACTCTAGTAGAGAGGACACGTGCACAGTGCAAGTCTTGTTTATTTATGTGGATTTGAAAGTCCAAGCTGCCAGGACTTATTCTCCAGCCTTGTCCTTCACTTCAATGGAAGCTACCAGCTGGAGTATCACCCTGATGGATGTGGAGACTCACATCTTCCAGTGCTCTTGGATTTCACTCCTCCATGGCCTCGAGTCTCCATTGTCGAAGAGGTTGAGGGTTTGGCAGAAAGGCAGATCCCACGTGATTTCAACTCGGAGGAATGCAACGAAGTTCTGGAGGATATTGCCTTTACAAACAATGTGCAGTGTTGCGTAGCCACAATTTGATTGCCAGAGATAATTACAAGTTACAAACTTTTCTAGTACGCCCGCAGCAGAGCGTGTGAGGTTCAGAGCCACGCACACCGCACCGCTTGTTGAAGAAGCTCTTTGAGAGCATGAAGTTGCACCATTTGCTCAATCCAACCTTTGTGCTGCGCTGAGACGCCAGCTTCCTTGATTCAAATTTCTTGCAGAGCTGTTGCTTGATCGCAAACTCGAGGTTATTGATCCACCCATGGAAGCTTCAATGGCCAAAGAGCACCGTAGCAAGCAAGGCGTGAGATACCAACAATGTGACTAGCAATCTGCGAATGCAGGTGCGCGGTTTTGATTTGCCTCAGGCCGAGCAGAACGCTTTGATTTAATCATATCAGGAAAAGAGATTAGCAATGGCTACTCTGAGCAGAACGATCCACATGCTCAGCGAGCGGCTTTTGATCAACTGAAGGAGGTGGGCGTCGAGGTGGCTCGCTTGTGCAAAGGTATCCCCAAATGTGCCACGCTTTGCTTTTTCACTTTTCCAATTTCACTTTTGAAATCGCACAGGAAATTCTCGAGCCTGTAGTTGGCACTGCAGGATTTTTTGGATGCCCTTGAGCACGGGCTTCCACCTTCTGCTGGCCTGGGTTTCAGTGTTGACCGCTTGATCATGCTTCTTGTGAATGCGAACCAAATGAAGGAGGTGATATTGTTCCCGCACATCAATCAGAGGGTGCGTCATCTGCAGTGAAGACAGTTCAATCCCTGTACTGTGTTTTGTTTGGATTCCACTTGGATTCCACAATTGCTTGGGCAAATGTGACCTTTGTGAGTGATGAGTTGTCCGCATTATGTTTGGCAAGGTGACAGGAGGCTGCTCGGAGTATTACTTTCCACCAAAAGTGCCGCAAGAGCGCCTTGCAGAGCTTGTGGAAGCTGACATGCCCTTTGTGATCTCGCCATGCTCACAGGTCTCTATCGACCCGCAGGTGTTCCATGTTTTGCCGGGCTTGCAGGTCCTGCTAGCCTGAGCCTCAACTTGCTGTTCACTTATGCCGCTTGTTCCATGTTTTGGATGTTTGCGCAACCTTGCAAGACTCCTCACACTCCTTGGCTCCTGGTTTTTGTAAACGTGTTGTTGTAGCTCTTTGTTTTCAGTTTGCTCAAGATCTTCAGTATTCATAGCTCAGCCTCCTGCCAGCGCACACACACTTTGCAGTTGACTCAATTCCCACGTTGAGAAGGAAGGTGAAGGAACGGCATGGTGAAAGGTCCAAAGACTTGAAGGTGTTTTAACATTGAAGTGTTTCTCATCTGCAGTGGTGCGACAGCAGCGCGCGCGAGCGGCGAAGGAAAGGGTTTAGGGGAAGTAGCATGAACCACCATGGAAACAAAAAGGAAAGATTGGACAGCTTAAGCAACAGTTCATGGAACGGGTACACAGTGGGGCGTCCCCCACTGCATCAGCACCTACTGGCATCCTCTTCGTTGGACTGGAAATGCCAGTGGTGTCCCGTCCAACTGCTTGTCTCAAAGGTCGCACCCTTTGGAACAGGGGTTGACACACACACGGTGCCGCTTGGCGGCGCTCGCGTGAGAAACCTGGATAGATACCTAAAAAGCCTTAGAAACAAAAGAAAGAAAGACAGAAAGAGAATACTTAGCCCTTGACTGGGGTAGGGAAACGAGCCTCAAGAACCACCTAAAAAGCTTGAAAGAAAGCCCAACAAACGACGAAAAGCGCAAGAAGGAAAGCGGGGGGCAGGGTGGGGGTGTGCGTTCATGTGTGTGTTTGAATACTTAGCCCTCTAGAGTTACTGACTACTTAGCGGAAACGCATTAAGTGCAATAGTTAGGGAGCGGGACTTTAGTCTTAAACCGCCCGGGTAGGGTAGACTAGAAAAGGGACAACAGAGGGAAAGGCACCGACACACAAGTGTGTCGAGTACCATTTCCCTATGTTACCCAAAATAGGTAGGGAGTAGAACACAGTGGGGGGGGGTTCGGGAGACCTGCCTCAAGTGGGGGGTTTGTGCCGTTTTAAAGCCCGGCGGCTGACAAATTCGTTTTTAAGCCCGACGGCTGTTGGATCAGTTAATTCAGTTATACAAGTGGAGAAAGTGAATTCAGTTATAAAAATGGAAACAATGATGTCCGGCATGAAAACGGCGCCTCCTTGCAGAGGATCACACCCAGCACCCAAGTGGGACGGCTGAGCGGCTCACACTTTGACATTGGTTTGCAGTTAACTCAATTCCCACGTTGAGAAGGAAGGTGAAGGAACGGCATGGTGAAAGGTCCAAAGACTTGAAGGTGTTTTAACATTGAAGTGTTTCTCATCTGCAGTGGTGCGACAGCAGCGCGCGCGAGCGGCGAAGGAAAGGGTTTAGGGGAAGTAGCATGAACCACCATGGAAACAAAAAGGAAAGATTGGACAGCTTAAGCAACAGTTCATGGAACAGGTACACAGTGGGGCGTCCCCCACTGCATCAGCACCTACTGGCATCCTCTTCGTTGGACGGGAAATGCTAGTGGTGTCCCGTCCCCCTGCTTGTCTCAAAGGAAGGTCGCACCCTTTGGAACAGGGGTTGACACACACACACGCACACACTTGCCGTTGCTTTGTGGTCCAGATGCGAGTGATGATGTGGTAGTATGATGTAGTATGTATAGGACATGCACCTAGTATATAGTTGAAGAGTTGCGCGCCAAGTGTCATTGTGGGTATATGGAACAAACGTGCAAGTGACTGGATTGTAATTGTATACACGCTTGTCAGTGTGAAACCCAGAACTCTGTGAACGAGGTCCTGAATGTTTCAACCACTATATGGGTACTCCGGTAAACTTATCTAACAACCCCGGAGCAGGAGGACCAAACAAGTTGTCCTTAAGGAAGGGCCAAGGTCTTTTTTGGGGGGCGCCCATTGTGCTGCTTTTTGTGGCCACGCTGGCGTAGTCTGGCTGTTTTGCGACATTGCGCCATTTGGGCAACAAGGCCTTGCCCAGACAAAGAACAAGGGCGTTTGTTTGTAACGCAAAACACAACGGGCGCAGGTATATAGAAAGCAAGTAATTTGAACAACCTTGCATCATGTCAAGTCAAGTCAAGACTTTGCACACTTGAGCAGAATGGATTTTTGAAAAGTGGTTGCCTAAGTTTGTCGGTAATGAAGATCAAGACGAGGTTCTTGTTTTGGGCTTTGAGAATGCAGACCGAGATGCGGCGGTCGAAGAGGTTTTTTTGGCAAGTTTGCAAGAAACCATGTGATAGCGGAATCAGGAAACAGCGCTTGGAGCTTTGGTGCCGGTTAGCTTCCCTCATGGCTACAGGGAATAAGGCTCCCTTGCAGTCAGTGCAATCCTTGCACAAACGTGCGCAGAAAGGCCAAATCACGCAGATTTCTCCAATAGTTGATCTGGTGAATGCTCTTTCCTTGAAGCACGTGGTTTGCGGGAGTGGCTTTGATTTGAAGGCTTTGCCAGGCGATCTAATGCTGCGGGTTTGCACAAATGCCGATCATTTCCTGGCCATGGATGCCTTGTCAATGTCTCCTGAAAGAGTTAACGCGGGAGAAGTGGCGTACACAACTACTCCAACCAGCAGTGGTAATGTGCTCAAGCGACACCTATCGCACAAGCAGTCAAAGCTGGGTGCAATTGGACCTGAGACCCAAGATGCACTTTTGCTGTTTGAGATGCCAGCAGAACTTGTCGAGGCGGTTTTGAAAGATTTGGCTAACGACGTTAAGAAGCTGCCGAAGATATTGATGAGTTCACCTGAAAGGCGCAAGAGAGGACAAAACGAGGCGAAGATTTGCATGTATCCTTTGAGCTCCAGCCACCCCATAGTTCACCTGCCAACAGTTCCGATTGTATGCTGAAGTGGGCTTGCAGTGCAAGTGATGGAAGAGTCGTAGCTCATGTGTCCTGTGTCCTACGATAGAGTTTGAATATGAAGATGCCTTCCTGAAGCAGGTGGCAAACCTTTGTTTGAGACACTGTGCAAGAAAAAGGTGAGACTTGCAGGACCCAAACCGAACCTTGACCGACATTGACAGCGCACTTTATCGCTTGAAAAGTTGCCTTTGCAATTTTGAGAGCAACTGTTTTGCATGTGAGATCAAGTCTCTCGGCGCAGCTAGTTCTTTTTTCTATCCTTTCAGCGTGACCTCAAAGGCGATGAGACGCCTCAGAGTGAAGTGGTCAAAATGGCCAGTGATGTTTTGCGCGTGCGCAATAAGTGCCTTAGAGCCACACCCTGAGTGCTTGTTCGCTCGAGCAGTTGCAAAGCGTGCAGCCGGGCCTCACATTCTCCAGCTCTACTACTTGAACTGTGGCGCTGGGTTGCGCATCTTGGAGGGG